TTAGGCCCTCACCCCCACCAGACTCGACTATTTAATATCAACAATTAGCGTGAAGCATTTAGTTCTCCAAATAAACGCACAGAACGTGACGACATCCGTTTTGGGTTAAGGGAAACCCGATGGACTTTGGGACAAGGCTATCTTAAAGGATCATTATGTGGACAACACAACTGATCCGGCTAGGTTTGACCATGATGCATGCACAATTTGAACAGAGTAAGGTTTCTATGGGATTTTAGACTGTACCCTAGAGCGGACAACTCAAGGGGGAAGGCTTGGAACTGTCGACTGCACCACTGATCAACTAGTTTTACCGCAAATATGCCTTTCCGAATTTAGGGGGTAATGATATAGGAAGAGCGCAACCACACATTATGAGCCTTGCTATAGTATTTGTTTTGTCACGAGTGGAGTATGATGTTGAGCATGATTATGCAATAATTAAAAAGCATGTTGACATGTATTTGCACATTAAGAAAGCGATAAATACAGCAGCTTCAATAAAAGGAAAGAAAACAAGGAAGATATGTCAGTTTTGCTTCTAAAGAAGAAATTAAATACTTAAAGTAAATAAACAGATAATCGCACATAGGGAGAGGTACAAATTCACAAAACAATCTGAAATGGTAAAAGCCTGGAAAAAAAATCCCCAGCAGAGTCGCCATGCTGTCGCACCCCCTTTTTCTCGCGAAATCGGGTTTATGACATATGGATGGGACAAATCTTTCCTTTTGGGAAAGGGGTTTTGCAATTTTGAAGAGTCGCCACCTAACGATTTTAAGGTGCGTTAGGGCACGTATGGGGTTCAATTATGTTGGTAACCAGAGATAGGATAAGGGCTTGAAATTATCCCAAGGGGAAGGTGTTAGGCACCCCTCAGGATCCACTAGTGTGGTTCCCGGCCAGATAGTTTTTTGTGAATTTGTGCAATTAACAAGTAAACAAATAAGGATCAAATAATAGGGGATTTTGATATTAAATACACAAGTGTTTGAAAATGATTAATGAAAGCAAGATTTTGAAAAGAGTTACAACCTAAGCATGCTGATGAATGTAAAGGGAGTCCTAGGTTTGTTTGTAATATGGATCACATCAATGCAATACCCGGTAATCACTCCTCCAAAGAGGGGCTACACGTGACATTAGCGCACCGCTCATCATATACATATCTACCCTTCCCACCCCGTGGAGGTATTAAAGCGAGGATCAGTCTCGACCTCTATTGCATGCTGTTACCCGTCCCATTCCTATCAGTCCCGGAGGAATTTCAGGACTACTATTCCTATAAGAGGGAGGATTTTAGGCTGACTCTTAGGTTTAAAGGTAAAAATGCTAAGGCGACATACAAAACAAGTAGAACTGTAGTTAGTGGGGAAACATATAAACAATTAAAGGCTTGTGTATACCTCCGCAAATGATGCATACAGACAGCATGACTTAAAACACAGTTAAGGTCTGAAATTTTAAGTCCTAAAGCAGGGAGTTTGAATCAGAACCAGATTCGTTATATAGCTCAGATAAGAAGTCCGAATCAGGCCTTCCTGTTGGTTGTAACAGTTGATAACTAAATAGAGGCGGTTCCAGTGTTTATTATTACCTAAGTCTTGCCTAGGCGTAATAATGATATCCTACGAGCATGATATCTATATAGATTGGGAATGCACTAGAGCAGTGATTAAGTTTAAGCAGGCGATTGGGGTCCTATTGGCATGCTTTCTAGCGGTATAAGTCAAGGCAGTGTTTGAGAAACTTATTAAAGAATCGGCAGGTTAATTAATTAATCCCATTCAGAATAACAATAAGAACTAGGCGGCTTCTCAAACTAAGCTGTTTTTAAATTCTATAGGCATGATTTCTATTATAGTTACTTTATATCCTATAGGCATAGCATCTAGTTGGAAAGCCGTTTATATCCTATAGAAATGATTTCTAATTGTGTGAAAGCGAAGCATGCAGAATTTATTTTAAACCAGAGCAAATCCTATAGGCATAAGCCTGATCTTGACTTCCTCTCTGAGTTATGTAATGAACCACTTCAATGTCAATGTGTCAAAGCCTTTCTCATACCTGAGTGTGTCAAAGTTCCCCAAATGATCTCAAGGGATCCCGGGCAACGCTTACACCCAGGTTTACATAACTAAACAGAATGAGTGCAGTGTGGAAGGGCCAACCCTTATGTGTCCAAGTTCAGAGGGAGCTCAAGGGTCCCAAGGCAAGGCTCACATAAGAGGGGCAGAACCTAAGTTCTAAGAGTATAGTGGAAGTGCAGAACATAGTTTGAAAGAGATTTATTAGAACTGAATTGGAAATAGTAAGTGGTCAGGGTGATTTTGAAAACAATTGTAGTAGTAAAACTCAACCTACACAGAATCAGTTGTCATTCAAAGGAGCAAGGTACTGTGGGATACATTGTATAACCCCAGCAGGGCTTGATTTGGGTCATGCACAGCAATAGCTGATGCTGGCACGGACACAAACCATCCAAAGGAACACAAACACATATAGGGTGATATGGGGGTTTGGGATTCATAAAGTAGCAAGTACACGACAGATGACTGACAGAATACACATATAGGTAAACATTAATTTAAAAGGGGAAAGGGAACATATTACAGCATGCTAGTAACATAACTTGACTGCACAAACATGAGCAGAAGTAGACAGGAATGAGAAACTTGAGCAATTAAAGAAAGCATGTTGTTGTTGAGGCTTGTAAATTAACTAGGACATACCAGTAGAGAAGCAAAGTGCAGTAAGGAAAAGTAAGCAAGACTCCATAGTCTAGCCTTGGCTTTCAGCCGGCTAAACAAACAGTAGCACAAGTAGCAGTAAAGCAAGAGAGAATTTTTTGAGGGTAAGTGTGTGTTATGAACTTAAATGTTCGTCTTTTTAAAGAAAAGAGGGTAGGGTATTTATAGTTTTGAAAACGAGTGAAGCATAAGGTAATAAGAAAAGCTTTGGCACAAACATGAAAATAATCACAATCAGAATCAATTAACACAAGTGATTCCCTTTAATTAAGGAATCACTGCTTAACGGATACTAACAGGGTTTAATTAAGGAAAGAAATCAGTTTGGGACAGACTGATTATTGCCATATAAGGGGCAGTAAAAGTGTGAAGGTAAATATTTAAGTCCAAGTACAAAAATGTACTTAATTTTGGAAAAGGATTCAAGGTAGAGTCAGTCAATTTAAACAAATGAATAAAATTAGGGTTCATAAGAAAAAACCCTTTGTAATCAATCGCAACATTTAGGGAGTCAGAATCAATCAAGAAGGATCATGGTTCTGCACCTCAACATATAAATAGAATGAACAGCAGTATCAGACATGCAAGGCCAAACATATTGGCAAAAGAAACAACATAAGCATATAGTAGTAGCAGGAATTTAGTAGTAAAAAATAGATCTATTCGAAGCATAGTAGTCAACAAGGTCAAGTAGTTACACAGAATCAAAAGTGACGAAAGCATAATAATAGGTAAAGAGAGTCAAAAACAAGTAAAGGTCTTACAGTAACAAGTGAGGAAAACCTTTTTTAAGAAAATAGGGCTTTAATAGTAGTCGAGCTTTAAGAGATGATAAGAACTCAGAATTAGATAAGTCAAACAAGGAAAAGAGAGTCAAACAAAGAACTTAATCGAACAAATATAGATTTAAAAAGACAAGCACAGTTTCAGAACTCGGATAGGACCAAAAATACCTAGGGATTTTAACATACTGAATCAAGTAGAAGTAAAGCATAAACAAGTTGTTGAACATAGTAAAATCATAAAGCAACACCAAAAATCAGAGAAGAGATCTTTTTAAAAGAAGTTAAGAGAAAACCCTAATCGTTGAGAAAAAATGAAGAGTCATTTTGAAAGAAAATCGAAGAACCTTCGAGAAAACACTTAAGAAGTTCGTAATAAGCACGGATCTAAGATAGATCTGAAAGAAAACCGAAAGACCTTAAAGCTAGGGTTTCGAAAAACCCAGGAAAGGTGAGAAAGACTTTGAAAGGTTACCGATCTAGCCGAAAAGGTCAAGGATCTGCCTTGAACGTCCATGGATGGCCGGAGAAAGACCAGAGATCGAAGTCGAGTAAGGACTGGACCAGATCTCGTCGAGATTTATCCATGGAATCATGGAAACAAACACCCAGGAGCCATAAGAGGCCGATACACATCTCAAAGGGCCATGAGAGGCCGTGGATTAGGCAGGGATTGAGGTGGATTAGGGTGGGATTAGATGGCGGCGGCTAGGGTTCATGAGGGGTTGCAGAGAGAATTGAGAGGAGAAGGGATTCAGAGGCGGCGGGTGGTGGGAAATGAGTTAGGTTTTAGGGGTCGTTTAGGTTTAATTATGGGAAGTGAGCTGGTGGTCGTTGATCTAAATAATCAACGGCCTGGATTGAATGGGGTAGGTAGGGATCCGGGTTTGGATCGGTTTAATTGGAATTGGGTCGGGGTTTAATTAGAATTGGGCTGGGGTAATTAGGGCCTGATTTGGGTTATAATTGAAACCCAATTTGGGCTAAAATTTAGATAGCCACTTTTCCCTTTTAATTCATAAAAAATAGTAGATAAATTTCTGGAAACAAATTGAAAGCACTAAAATGATTTATAATATATAATTAACAATTTAAAAATATAGGATCCCATTTTATAAACATGAGACAAATTTAAACCTAAAAATGGCTAATATTGCAATTATGTGCAATTAGCTTTAAAAAATACTAAACAAAATTGTAAAAATATGGAAAACTTACCTTAGACATATTTTGGATAAAATATAAAGATCCCATAAATGAATCATCAAAAATAATAATTTTGGACATAATTATTGGGATTTTATGGATGAAAAAGGGGAATAAATCAGTTTAAAAACCTTAAAAAGTTTTTGGAAAATAATAAAAATACCTATTTTGAAGGTATTTTGCATAAATATATCGGAAAAAATTGGGTGTCAACAGTGACATAAAGTATGAGGTTGGCCATGAATAATTACCTCAATCAGGCATGGCTCAACAACATCCTTCAACCCCTAGCACCCTCAGTGAATCCCCAATTGTTCCATGCAATGAGGAACCAATGGAACTTACCTCCTCACTTCAATCCGATCTACCCACAAAATGCTCTCCTGGATATGCCCTTCTTCATGCCAGAGAATCTATCTCGGCTGAATCCCATATTCCTACCATGGGAACAACCTCAGCCAGCCCAGGAGCCACAAATACCACCACCTCATCAACAACCTCCCTCTCCACCCCACAATCACGTGCTTGTACCAGAACTAGTAGAGGCGGAAATGGAGGAGGAGGAGGAGGAGGAACCCCTCAATCTACTCTTAGAAAGAGTCCTAGAAATCTCAAGTCTGGACGGAGTAAAAGTGTTTCTCTTTACGGAGAGGCAAGAGAAGAGGCATGTGCTCAGTTGTCCACTAGAATTATACAAATGCTCGATGGACATAAGACCACCTCAGGATCCAACAGTGGGCAACAGAGCCATGATCCTAGTTCCATCAATGTGGAGGAACCCAGTCCTAGGGGCAGTGAGGGAAAATGGGGATCCGGCCAACGCAAATCTTAATATCTCAATGAATCGACCTACTAATATTATCATTTAAAACATAAGGGGATGGAACAATGATAACTTCAGGAGAAACTTCAGGGAAATGGTGGATACACACAGACCTTGCATGGTGGCTTTATTGGAAACTAGAATTGGGAATCATGTGGAGTTGCTGGATGATTTTGGGTTTATAGAATTGATAGAAGTTCCAAGTGAAGGCCAGGCAGGAGGGATAGTGGTTCTATACAACCATGAAATTGTCACTGTTCAGAATTTTGTTCGAAGGGATCAGAAAATTCATGCTACGATTGAGGTCAGTCCTTTACGTAAAAATTGGCTTTTTAGTGCTATTTATGCTAGTACAAATATACTTAATAGAAATAAGATGTGGGATAATCTTGAGAAAATTAGCAATAATTATAATGGTCCTTGGTTAGTAGGGGGAGATTTCAATGATGTTTTAGGATCAAATAAAAAATTTGGTGGCAATTGTATAAAGGAAAGTAGGGCAAATTATCTTTGGTCGAAGATTAACAATTGCAACTTAATTGACTTAGGGTATAAAGGGTGTAAATATACTTGATCCAACCATAGACATAAGAATAGGGGTCTCATTATGGAAAGGCTGCATAAGGTATTAGGTAATGAGGGATGTATTAACCTATTCCCAAAAAGTTCCATTATACACCTCCCTAAGACCCATTCGGATCATAACCCTATCTCAGTAGAATTAATCCCTAAAAATAATTATCTATACAAGTCACCCTTTAGACTTGAGACCTACTAGTGCAAGCATCCAGAATTCAAGCCCCTAGTGCAAAACAATTGGACAAATACTGACTATAATAGGGCTAGCAAAAATTTCATAGAAAAAGTTAAGGTTTGGAAACACCACACTTTCGGAAATACAATGGGGAAAAAAGAAAGAACCTAGCCCGCCTTCAGGGTATTCAAAATTCCAAGCACTATCCTTATAGTACCTTCCTCCAAACCCTAGAAACCAATCTCAAAAAAGATTACAATGATATACTAAAAATAGAAGAAGACTATTGGAAATTAAGGTCAAGGGTTATATGGCTAAATGAAGGAGATGCTAACACTACATTTTTCCACATCTCTGCCTCCAATACAAAAAGAAGGAATAAGATTAACTTCTTTAAAGATGAGGCTGGAAATTGGATCAATGACCCTTATCTAGTCACCTCACACGTTTGTAATTTTTTTCCTAATATTTTTACCACTTCACACATTAATTCTAGTCAGGTTAGCCCACTGAAAAACATCTCTCAAAACACTTTAAACCTCGATTGTCTAGATAACCCCTTGCTTGATATCGAAATAAAAAAGGCTTTATTCTCCTTTAAACCTTTCAAAGCACCTAGACCGGATGGCCTCCACCTGTTCTTTTTCCAAAAATATTGGGATATTATAGGACCCTCCGTAACAAAACTGTGCCATGACATTTTTAGAAATCGGGAAATCCCCCAAGATCTTAACAAAACTTATCTATGCCTAATTCCAAAAATACCCAATGCCAACAACATCAAATATTTTAGACCTATTGGTCTATGTAATACCATTTACATATTAATCACAAAAATCTTAACAATTCGCCTCAAACCTTTCCTTGATCAGCTTATTAATCCTCGTCAAGCTGGTTTTATAAAAAATAGAAGGGCGTCTGATAATGCTATTATCATACAGGAACTAGTTTCAAAAATCAATAAACTAAAAAGGAAAACAAGGTCAAATGCTCCTTAAAATTGACCTTGAAAAGGCTTTTGACCGGTTAGAATGGTCATTTGTGCATCACACTTTAACCTACTTCAATTTCCCTCAAAATTTTAAAAAATAATTTTTATTAATTATGAAGTGATTTAATTATTTCTTCAATTATTCTTGTTCTTTAATATTTCCAAAAGGATTAGCTAATCCTAGGACTCGCCCATTAACTTCAGAATAAATCTTGGAAAAGACAAACTCGGCGATGACAACGATTAATTGACAAGAACTTGAGGCGTTAACCCTCATTTTATAGATTCTACTTAGGGGTAGGATTGAACTACTTGTAGCCACATTCGAGTGTACTTAATTCTTTTAATTGTTTTAGGGATAATTCAATTAGAAAGCCTTGTTAGCTTTCAGAAGAAGCTAATATAGAATTATTATCCAAGACTAATTAACATAAAGTCGCTTATATTTGTTAAATCATGAAATAAAATGGATCGTTACTTGAGAGAATTTCCCTTTTGTCCATTCTTGTCGCCATTGATCATTTTACTTGCTTTTTAGGTTAGTTTACATTCACATTAACTATAATAATTTCTCAAAACCCTTATTAGTGTTTGCCTTAGCATAAAAAGTGATAATTCTCTTACTTGCCTAATTTCTTTTATATTGTTCCCTGTGGAATTTGACCCCAACTCATAGTTAGGTAAATTATATTGCATGCGATCATGTACACTTACTCTTTGAGGAGTGAATTTGGAAATTATTAATTTGGCGCCACTGCCGGATTGTTTTTTGAAGAAGTGTGATAGGTTCTAAAGAACCGAAACAATTACAAGAAAGTAGGAGATGCCCTTGGAAGGCGTTCTTGAGATAGAGATCTTTCACGTGTGGGAGATTGATTTTATAGGAACATTATCATACTTGAAATGGTAAAAGGTACATTTGGATGGCAATTGAATATGTCTCTAAGTGGGTGGAGGTCATTTCTCTCCTGTGAATGATGTAGAGGTGATGGTGAACTTTGTGAAAAAGCACATTTTCCCAAAGCTCGGAACTCATCGGGCATTGATAAGTAAAGGAGTTACTTACTTCCATAACATGCTATTGGATAATCTCTTGGGGAAATATGGAGTCAAGTATAAAGTTTTTACTCCCTATTATCCGCAGACTAGTGTGCAAGTCAGGGTATCAAATAGGGAGATAAAGCGGATTCTTAAGAAAACATGTTTATGGGAAGACATGTCATTTGCTGATGAACTTGAGCACAAGGCTTATTGGGCGCTTAAAAAGCTAAATTTTGAGCTTGAGTTGGCCAGTAAGAAGAACATATTGAAACTCAATAAGCTTGATGAGTTTCAGTTGCAGGCATATGAAATTTTCAAGTTTTATAAAGAGAAGACCAAAAGATGGCACGACAAGTATATTCACACCGAGATTTTAAGTCAGGCCAATTGGTTCTTTTGTTCAATTCGAGATTGAGACTTTTTTTCTCTGAAGCACAAATTAAGGTAATTAGTTTGAGGTGGTAAGAGTTACTCTACATGGAGAATTTGAGTTACGAACTCTAAACATCGAAAGGAGGTTCTTAGTGAACGACAAAGAGCGAAGCATTATTGGGATGGTGACTTTGATCGCTGAAACTCAAAGGTCGTACTCCAAATGTCTAACCGAGGATCTTACGTCGTGTCGTGCCTAGATTAGAGAAGATTTAAAGAAAGCATATTTTTGAGCTCGTGTCTCGTTGAATAATTTTGCGGTTAGTATAGGAATATACCAAACAATCTTACTTAGTTGAATGTCGTAATTTCTATGCGTTCTTGATATATTAAATTCCATATGAATATAGACATTGAGATATGAATAAGCGAGGAGTACTTCAGAAGAATGTGTCACGACCCAAACCGATGGGCCAAAACGGGCACCCGGTATCTTACTCAACCGAGTACCTACGTAACGTATCTTTCATATCATACTATCATATAAAAATGAGCCAGAGAGGCTGTCGTGAGATAAGTAGAATAAAACATGGGAAAATACCCGACATAGAACGACCCATCCTGATATAAAAACTTACATACGAGACATACGAGCCTATAAGGACAACATGATCATTTGTAAACTCAAAACATAGGCCGACAAGGCCAAGCATCCGTATACATGAAATTTGTCTACAATGCTCTAAGAGTACATACTTATCATAAGGTCGAGACTGGGCCCCGCCATACAAAACAATACGTGTCTAAATTATACTGACCAAACAAGCTACTCCGGAGCAAATGGAGCGCACCAACATCTTCCGTTGAGTTGATAGCCTACTTGGAGGACTCTCAACCTGTCTATCGAGACCTTCGGGCATGAAACGCAGCGTCCCCAGGCAAAAGGAATGTCAGTACGAATAATGTACTGGGTATGTAAGGCTCATAAATAAGTACATAAAAGACATGGAAGAAATATAGGGTACATGACTTAACCTATAAGTCTGCACAACTCTGTAAATCCTGAAATACTTATAGTGTCATACATATACGTATGAATGTTATGTCGTGCATAGGTACATATGTTCATAATATCGTCAAGCCTCTGAGGGCACCCCATCATATCATCTCGGCCACTGTGGGCAAAATCATCAATGTATACCAACTAATCAGGTGGTGGTGTGTATATAACGCCGTAACCTTTTCCCAATATAAGAAAATGGTATATGTTTCTTGCTCTTTGGATATAAACGTTCTGATCATGGGTCAATGTACATGTTTAAACGAATGAAATGCATGAAAAATATGTAATAATCTCAATATTCCTTCCCGATAAACTTTTTCAACTGCGTATTATTTTGAGACCCATGAACAAAAGATATAATAATATGTCACATGGGAAATCAAGAACACAGAAACCTCTAGTATTTCTATGAATAGAGTCGTTTATAAAAACTGTGCGTGCTCGTTTCTTCTGTATAACTTGGATCATGACGAAAAGAAAGAAGGGATAGCCTTAACATACCTGGAGTAGGGAAAACTCCGTATAATATTCTTGGATAAGATTGCACCGTACTCCTTTAGAATCGCAAAATTTTACGTTGCTATGATTCAACAAATTCTCGTTGGAAGCCTTCGTGAATTGAATTTAGCTTATGTTCCTAATGTATTTCGAACTAAGAAAATGGTATATGTTTCTTGCTCTTTGGATATAAACGTTCTTGGTTCTCTTTTTGTCCAAAATGAAAATGGAAAACAAAGACTTATCTTTGTTGTGATTGTTGTCTAAAGTAAAGAATGGAAACAAAGACT